CCCCAAAACCCCAAAACCCCAAAACCCCAAAACCCCAATTTAATAAATTTTTTCTAATATTATTTATCCTAAAAGGAATGAGTATGTTTGGATTTGACAAACTCAAGGAAATTGCCACTAAAGGTGTCAGAAAAGTAGTTAATCGTGATTTTATTCTGAAGAAACAAATTGAAGAAACCGACCAAGATCAGGACATTGAAATCATACCTAAAGATGCAAGTTTGGATCCTTCTTCATATGAAAATTTTGAGCAAACCCTTATTCAAGAGAACAAGAATTTAAAAACTCTTGTGAGTGAGTTGCTTCAAGAGAAAGAGGAAGTGGAAACAAAGCTGACCAAAAATGCTAAAACTTTAAGGAAATTTAAGGATGACAATGAAGATTTGAGAGTGAATTCCTTAGCTTTAGCCAGCCAGAAGCAGATCTTACAAATGAAATACAGTGAAATCGAAGGTTCGAAAGGGAATAAAACAGATGAGACTGATTCAAATCTTTTGAAAATTGAAGAGCTCGAGAAGGTAATTCAGCAATTGAAGGATAGCACAGCTTGCTATAAGTCTGAAAATAATAAATTAAAGAGAGAAGTTGAGAATATAAGGGCTGATTCAGAAGCTGAGAGAAAAATATTCCAAGTTAATGTCAAGTCTGAAGAGAAGTTCACAGAAGCTGAATTTGTCAAGAAAGCAAGGGAGCTAGAATACCTGATTCATACCTATGGGACTAGTATTGAGAACAAGCAGGATTACTTAAGAGAAATTCTTAACACAAAGACTGATAAGAGTAATCTTCCTCTAACCTTTAGCTTATTATCTGATGAAGGCTAAGATATTGGAGAAAGTGGCCAAAAACTCTTTCGTACAGCTGACTGTGATGCAGCTAAATTTCCAGAAAGAGAAAGAGGCGCTGATTTCATCATATGAGTCCCAGCTCAAGGAGGCCAGAGAACAATTAGAACAGACCAAGGTTTCCCATATTCAGCAGCTTGAGAGTAACAGTGCAAGGGAAGAGATAGTCAAGCTATCAAAGCAGTTGAGCAAGACCAAGCAGGAAGGACAGAAATACAAAATTTTAGCGTATGTTTTCATCCAAATACTGTAGCACAAAATTAATGAAGATGAAAGCAGAGATGGACACCTTGCGCAAACAGAACAAAGAGACAGGAAGGATTCTATTTGACCTCAATGAATTCGCAAGGGAAACATGCCTAAAAGGTCTCATTGATACTAAGAAGAAGCTCCTTGTTTTCAACGAAGCTATTGAGTACCTAGATAACGAAGCCAAGGATGCCAGAAAAGTTGTATTTAATAAGAATAATGAGATTGGCAAATATTTTAACGAGGTTCAGAGCTTAAAACAAAAACTTGTACAAACAAGTAAGCTCCTGTGCTCATTTTAGGTACGGAAAACCAAAGTCTCCGTGATCAGGTAGAAATGCTGTCTCAACAGCTAGAAGATATGGATGATAGGAGGGAAAATTTGAATACTCGGAGTTATACAGAGACACAAAATGTTGGCACAAAACCAGCACAATCTACATCCAGAGAATTCTCCAGGACCCAACACCCTCAGCAGCAAGAGCTCCAGCGAGCGAACAAAGGTGAAAGCAGAGATGTTGCCGATGCGTTTAAATTAGACAATATAATGTCCTCTTTCTTCTCAGCATTTGGAGGTGGCAACGACCGAAATGAAGCCCAGTTGCATAATCTATGGGGTCAAGACTCTGTTGAGGAACAAGATGAAGATCAAGAAGAAGAGTTTACTCAATTCAACAAGCAAAGAGAGGAGCCAGAGGAAGAGGAGGAAGGTATAAGTTTTCCAAGCAAAGAGACTGGGTTTTCTTTCCCAAAATCTCAAGTTCGTACTTTCCCACAGCCAGATGACTCACCAGAAGAGGATAAGAATTCCATTGATGATGACATTGAAGTTGACGAGGTAGGGATCGCCTTCCCAGAAGTAAATTTCGAAGAAGCGAAGACTACTCGAGAGAATCCTAAAGAGCTAAGTGTTAAAGCTAAAGAGGATCCAAATCCTATTGAGCAGACTTGGGGAAATCCAGATGATGACTTGGAGGATGATGATTTCTTTAATAGCTTCAAAAAGAATTTTGTCCAGAAATCTTCTTCAAAGAATGAACCTCAAATCAAAGAGAAGACTATGGAGCATAAAGCCGTACTTCCAGTTAAGGAAATCAAGGATGAGCAAGTGACTAGCAGTGAGTTAAAAGATAGTACTGCAAAGGATGATATAGATGAAGATCCGCTAGCTGATCTTCCTTCAGAACAGGCTGAAGACGACCTTGATTGCCAGCTTGAAGATGAGCTTGACTGTCAGCTTGGAGACGACCTTGACTGTCAGCTTGGAGACGACCTTGACTGTCGGTTTGAAGAAGACCTTGACTACCAGCTTGAAGAAGAGGGCTTGGCCAATGAACATTCACATGAGGAAAATAAGACAGAGGAAAACCAACAAGTTATCCAAGAGAGTTCATTAGATGAAAAGCAGTCACAGGTAGATGAAACCCAGGAGTGATTAAAAGTACATGAAACACAGGAGATGGCTAAGAAGGCTGAATCGGCTCCTGAACAAGTTCAACCAGAGCTTCAGCAGAATTTAGCTGAAGAGCCTGGCAAAACTAGTCACTCACCAGCAGAGGTAGCGAATTTGGTAATCGATGAGACTGAGCAAGACTTGATCGAGGAAACTAAAAATGAGTCAAACTATGAGCAACTAGAGGAATCACCCCAAATCCTCCCGCTAGAAAATACTGAAAAAGAGGAGGAACAGTTACCAAAACTACATGAAGACTCTATGGCTAAAGAGCAAAAGCCTAATCCAGAGCCAGAGCTTACCGCACCAATTCTTGGTGACAGTGCAGAAGAACCTGAACAATTATCCCCTCAAAGCCCACAATTGGACGAGCTTGAAAATGGATGGGGTCAAGACCAAGAAGAAATCTTCCTCGATGACGAAGACGATAATTTAGATAAACCTGAAGAAATCCAATTAGAACAACCTCAAGCTACGGAAGTGAAAAATGTTGTAGCTGAAAATCCTGAAGAGCATGTACAAATTGAACCAGGAATAACAGAAGAATTTCAAATTGATGATAAAGCAGAAAACCAACAGGAGGAAATTAAAGAGGAACAACAAGAAGAAACTGTAGAAAGTCAGCAAGAAGAAACCAGAGAAATGCAACAAGAAACAGAAGAAATTCAAAAAGAAGGTGTCAAAGAATCCCAAGAAGTAGAACCAGAAGAACTTCAACCTGAAGCAGTCGAAGATACCTGACAGGAGGAGTCTGAAGTAGAACAATTTGAGGAACATAAAATTGAAGAACAACCGATTCTTGAAGATGAAAAAGCTGAGGAAATAGAGCAAGAAATGGCTAAGGATACACAAAAAGTACCAAAAGATGTATTATCTGAACATTTACCAAGCTCTGCTATTATACTTGGACATAGGACGGATGTACCATATCTCTGATATGGTATAAATGCTGAGGAAATTGAGGAACATCCGGCTACAAACATAGATGACCCTCAAGTTGAACTGGATGAAGAGCCTCTCTTGGATACACCTCCTGATGAAATTAAGTCTCCAAGAGCTGATATATCCTCTCCTAAGCAAGAAGTTGCAGAAAAACTCTCAGCTGAGAAAACACAAGAACATCTTGAAGATTTAGAGCCAGAAGTTGATGATATCTTACCTGAAGAGCTTGAAGAACTGGGAGGATGGGGATCTCAGAATGAAGATGGACCTCTCGATGATAATATCCTTGACGACGAAGAAGTAAAGCAACCTCAGCCAGAAGAAAATAAGGATAATGAAGCTGTAGCTGATGACCAAGAAGATATAGACCTTGACCTTATGGAGCTAGATATGCAAGAAGAAGCATGGGGAGATGACCTTCTGCCTGATCCTTCTGATGACATATAAAATCAGAATACTTTTAAATTCCATTAATAAGGTTTCAATATTCCATACGTAAATGGGGTTTTGGGGTTTTGGGGTTTTGGGGTTTTGGGG